GACTTACATACAGATTCAACTTAAGAAACCCAGGCGTCCCCAAGTCAGCTGCTGCTGAAACTGATCAGCGGCTGATTCCAGGAAGCCCGGGGCAAAGCAGCTCTGCCTCGGGCTTCCTGTAGTCAGCCACTGGTCAGTTTCAGCAGCGGCTGAATTGGGGACACCTAGGGTACCCGACATACGTACAAATTCAACTTAAGAACAAACCTACAGTCCCTATCTTGTACGTAACCCGGGGACTGCCTGTACTTGTGATCTCCAGGCATGATAACTGAATAATTTAAAAACTCAGCTATTAAAAATATATTCTGGTACAGAACTGTTTCCAAACAGTGTGCCAGAAGTAATACTGCATTTGGTCAAGTAATTAGGTGTGCATATAAATTCTACAGTTTGAAATTATCACTTTTTAGTACGGGGCAACACATATGATAACTTCTTTACCACATTCAAGTACAGGATGTCCCCACTATAAGTCGCCTCGATATACATCCATTCCACACTAAAGTTGTTGACATTTGTAGGAACTGATGCGTTATTAGTCCTCCCATTCCCTGCTATAAGTTGTGCGAAACACCCCTCCCTCCTTTCCCAGCCACGGAAAAACAATTCCCCACTTTAAGTTGATTCGTTATAAGTCCACGTTTTTTGGACTGTATCTTGAACTGATAGCGAGGACTGCCTGTATTATTGATTTTTAAGGTGATAACAGAAATGTTATTTTAACACAATTCATTCTTTGTTAATTTCATGAAATTCTAGAAATCATGTTTTTAACGACAACAAAAAAACAGAACTGGCAATACTTTCGTTCTTTTAAGCCTGAGATGTGCACTACATTATATTTGTGAAGTTACAGAATTTTTCTTGCTTTTTTATAGAAGACTATACCCAGTGTTTTTTTTATGAAGCACACCACCAATAAACATGCTCTGAGATCGAACATAGAACTATAGATTCCAACATGTGCAATAGTAACAAATAGTCTATGTGTCCAAGAGCCACATAGTTTGTGGTTTGTTTTTTGCACATTTGTAATTAAAAAACCGTGAAATGCTTTGACTTGTATACATTCAATATTTCATTTCTTGCACGCTGTAAGTATGGTCAAAGTAAAGCAGAGTATTGAAAAGTAATATTTAAAAGTTAGGTGGTAGTGGTATTGTACAACTATATGAAGAATGGATGTACTGCACCTTGTGTTTTTGTGGACTCCTTAATGATTTTCTGAAGCTCTTTCATTTCTTGGTCAAGTTCTTCATAATTTATTTCCCTAGATTCAACCTTGGGAGCCTGGAACAGAGAAGGATCGGTACCAAGGTAGGAACACTGTAAGTGCCCACTGTCACTCAGCGTAACTATAACACCCTTCAAATCTCTGCATAAAGAGAGATAAAAATTCATTAAGAAATTAAGTAGCAACTCACAACGAATTATAAAACTCTATAAGGTTATTCTCTGATACTGTTTCTAAAAAATTGTCTGCTGTCACAATAACATTTTAAACAATTTTTTTAAGATCATTGACCAAGGGGGAGGGAGTGGAGACATGTTATACTCATTATTAATCATGTTTATTGTGACAGTGCCCAGGGACCAACCAAGAATGCCATCCCTACCCCCATTTTAGGCACTGTACAAACTAGGCATGTAAACATCTTGTTAAACCAGTTAACCAATTAAGAAGGGGGACAGATGAAGGTTACACTCCAGCCAGACTAGAGCAGCCTCCCCACTCATCGCTGGACTGGACCTTAACTTGCCTGTGGCTCCCCCACCACAGACAGGGACTGCACCTGCCAGGCTGGAGCAACCCTACCTGCAGGGCACTTGGGCCTGTTGCAAGCAGGGGTTACTCCAACCTGGCCAGAGCAGCTCCAGTCCACTACACACAGATACCTTCACAGGGCTGGAGTAGCCACCTGTCCATGGCAGGAAGGGAGCTGCTCCAGTCCCCAGTAGTTAACCTTAACCAGTAAGCCTCACCCCTTAAGGATGAGGTTTACCAGTTAACCATTCACATCCCTAGTACAAACATCAAATAAAATAAAGTCCCTGACCAAAAGATCTTAAAAACTAAATACACAAGACAGATGCAGGGTAGCAGAAAAGGACAGAACAAACAAAATAAATAATATGATGGTTGCAAACATCATGTTCATTTTGGCTTTGTTTTATTAAATCCTTTCAGTGGGATTAGATTAGAAGGGGACTAGTTAAATGCAATGACTAAGGAAAGGAAAGAAAGACAATTTGGTGCAAGCAGCTGATTGCACCTTGCCAGTCTCTGGCAAGATCCTATCTGCAGTTTCCTTCCCAAATATCAAATAGCTGAATGGAGAGGAACATCAAACTGTGGTCTCTATGTCTCCCCAAGAGATCTTGCTTGCATTGTTCTGGGTCCGTGGATATTGGTCATGTGGGCCTGACTGGGCCCCATTTTACCTTCTCCTCACCCCCAGAGCAGCAATACCTGCTTGAACTGCTTTCTGCAGAAATTGGTTTCATTTACAAGTTTGACACCTGGAATGGGGGTCTGAACAAAGACCTGAACTGGATAGACTGCTACGTTCCACACCCTAATGACATAAAAATCTAACCACCGGATACTTAGAGTCCACTCTATTAGCCTCATTTAGCATGGGTACTCTGACAATATTTTCCCCCATTTTTTCCCTTCTCTTTCTCTCTTCATCCCCTCTCTTTCGCTGCTATTTATTTGTACCCTGGTCCCCTTAACTCCATTAATCTGAAGAAGTGGGTTGTGCCCACGGAAGCTCATGATACCATCTACATGTTTTGTTAGTCTCTAAGGTGCTGCAGGACTATTCATTGTTTTTTAAATTTTTTCAGTTACAGACTACCACAGCTACTGAAACTTCTGCAACCACTGTATATTTTTGTCTGTATTTTGTTCTATCTAGTCATGTACCCTACACATAAAACATCTTTGAAAAGTATTTAATAAGTGATTTGTAATTAAAGGAAAGCTGTCACCCATTCTGCTGTTATAGGTAGGAAGAGGACTTCTCAACATATACTTAATAAATCAGGAAAGTGATCTTGTTAGTCTAAGACAATAATAAACTAGTTCCTATTCTACTTGTAAATTGATTTCAGATACAGAACTTTAAGGTTCAATATTTTTAAAAATCATAAGAAGCCACCCTCAGCTTAGCTTGCAATATATCTTTATATGAGCCTAGGCTTCTGAAAAACAGACATTGCCATTGATATCAAACATGACAGTTATCTTCCGATGCAGAGAATTGGATGAAAATACCAAAAAGTCAGTTCCTAGAGTCAAAGCTTCACTGAGATGATCAAGGCTCTTGTATCTTCCCAATGTAGTAGATAGTCCTAGAAGATTCAGTATACAGTACCAAGTTCATGCTTTAACATTACTTTTAAGAAATGACAACTACTGTAAATCATGTATCTGATAGCCATTTGAGAACCTACAGTGATCTACATTCCATAAAATAATCTCTGGGTTTGTAAAAATAGTAACCTAAAACTAATTGTATTTTTCTAACTGAAGTCTAAGCATTTAAACATACTACAAAGTTCAAATTTACACTTTTTTTTAACCTTTGGTTGTTTTTTCCCTAGGGGTGGGGAGGAAGCAGAATGTGGAGAAGGAAAGAAGTTATTTATGGGGGAAAAATAGGACTAGGACTAACACAGTAAGGGCACATCTAAACTGCGGTGGGCCATCTTCCAGCATTCAATGGGTCTAGTAGGGACGTGCCTAACTGAACATTGAGGGTGCCCGGTCAACATTGGAATAAGGGAAGTCAATGGGAGTGTTTTTCTAATCAATTTCCCACAGTGAGGATGGCACCCAAACTCCGCTTAAGGTACATCTACTCCAGCTGGAACTGCGTTTCTCAAGCCAACCTTGCCCCAGAATGTAGACCTCCCCTAAGTGTTCTAGATCAATTCTAGATCAATTCCATTACTAACAATGACGCTAAGTCAATATAAATATGTTCAAAAGTAGCCTCTGAAACAACAGTTCTCCCTAGGTACATTTATGTTTTGTCAATTATGTGTTTTACTGACATCTAATTCATCAGCTAAACCAAAGTTTCACACATAAGTCAGTCACACATCTTAAGTATACTTCTGCAAAAAGCAGTTTGCCTTCACATATCCAGGTTTTGGTATGTCCTCAAGTTACACACAGAAAAATCATAAGCACAATTTTACAAACTCACTTGAGAACTTTTGAATATTTAAACCTTGAAAATAAAACAATGCCCATTTTGGTCAACTGTTCTTTCAGCTGTTAAGTCTTTTAAAGCTGCTATGGCTCAGAAATGAAGGTGTTATTTTAAGAAAGCAGCATAAGCAAAATTTTTCCTTTTTTTTTTAAACCTAGTTTTTTTAAATGACTATGTTCCTGATGGATCCTAAAATCTATTATGCTTCATATTTATTTAAAATGAAGTATCTACAATTATATGAAAACTTTCTTAAGGATTTTTCTCTTGTTGATTCTTTCTATACATTTGTGGGTACATTAATATGACAAGAGGGATGTATCTAATGAGTTGTAGGAAGTGAATTATGATGTATTAATTTTTCTGTTGGAATGTTAGTCATCCAATCACATTGCTTTATTTTCTCAGGCTTTTAAAATATTGTTTAAAGAAGTATTTAATAGTTTTATCGCAGTTTCCCCACAGCTATTGCTCCCATACAGTATCCTGCAAAGGCCATTACTTCATTTGGAACATATTCCACTCAATCTGCAATTTCAATTATTTATTACGTTTCTATTATTGTAGATTGTGTTACTATACACATATATCATACAACAGTCAAAGTAATGCTGAATCTAAAGGGACACTTTAGTAGTGAAGAACTCAAAATATGAAACAAATTATTCTGGTATTTAAAATAACATTACTGAACAAAGGAACTCCTACACACACATGGTAATAATTTGAAAATCTATCTTTTAGTGGATTCTGCATAATAATAATGGCATATGTTTTTGTAGGTCTTCTCTTACAAAGCAAATGGGTCACAACCTATTTTTTAACAGATTCAAATGCTTTGAATACTTCCAGTCATACAATACCAAATCAGTAATTCAAATAGCTGGTTTAATAGTATTATAGATTTAACTACACTGATTTTTTTATTTAAACACAAACTAAAACACTACTCCATCACTTTTGCCAAAAATCTATGTTTTACATTTTTTAAATATGTAAGGGTATGTCTACACTACCCCCCTAGTTCGAACTAGGGGGGTAATTAATGTATGCATACTGAACTTGCTAATGAAGCCCAGGATTTGAATTTCCCGGGCTTCATTAGCATAAAGCCGGCGCCGGCATTTTTAAAAGCCGGCTAGTGCGAACCCCGTGCCGCGCGGCTACACGCGGCACGGGCTAGATAGTTCGGGGAACTATCTAGCCCGTGCCGCGTGTAGCCGCGCGGCACGGGGTTCGCACTAGCCGGCTTTTAAAAATTCAAATCCCGGGCTTCATTAGCAAGTTCGGTATGCATACATTACCCCCCTAGTTCGAACTAGGGGGGTAGTGTAGACATACCCTAAGAGTTTAATAGTCAATATTACTTATTTTCAAGTAAGTCTTTTAAAATTTACAGAATCAGCCTTATTCATTTGAGTGTTGTATTTGTAAATTGCTAAATGAGAAAATACAAAGAAAATGTTTTGTGGTGTTATGACAATCGAATACAAGTTATTAATTTAATAAATTAATTCCTAGGCAATACTTAAGGATTTTGTGTCTGATCTCAGACTTTGAGGCTAGAAGCAACTATCAGGATAATGTAGTGTGATCTCCTACATATTGCAGGCCACAGAATCTCTCCCACCCAACTCCTGTCATAGACCCCAATGTCTGTCTGAGTTACTGGGGTCCTCAAATTGTTAATTAAAGACTTGAAATTACAAGGATCCACCATATTATATTTGCAAAAGACTGATACCCTATGCTTCAGAGCAGTGTTTCCCAATTAGTGCTCCGCGGAACCCCAGGGTTCCATGAAGCGAAAGTAAGGGTTCCGCGAGGAACCGGCACTCTCCTGCCCCCTCTTAAACAGACAGAGCTTTTTTGCGCGGGACTCTTCCCCCCCCCCCTTGACAAATCGTGCTGGGGGCCATTTTTTTTAGGCAACTCTAGGGGTTCTGTGGCCAAATAAAATTGGGAAACACTGCTGCAGAGGAAGGAAAGTCACCAGAATCTCTTCTAATCTAAACTGGGGGTAAATCTGTTTGACCCCATATAGGGCAATCAGCTGGACCCTACGCATATGGGCAAGACCCCCAGTCCAACACCTGTCCCCTGGTTACAACATGGGAAAGAAATAGTTAAGCTCAAAGTATGCTTTGTGCAC